CTTGCTATTTTGCACACGCTATGCCCTTGTTCTTTTTATTTTGCCCACGCTATGCTCTTGTTCTTGCTATTTTGCACACGCTATCCCCTTGTTCTTTTTATTTTGCATACGCTTGGCCCTTGTTCTTGCAATTTTGCACATGCTAGACCCTTGTTCTTTTTATTTTGCACACGCTAGGCCCGTGCTCTTGCTATTTCGCGAACGCTAGGCCCTTGTTCTTGATTTTTTGCACACGCTAGGCCCTTGCTCTTGCTATTTTGCACTCGCTAGGCCCATGTTCTTGCAATTTTGCACACGCTAGGCCCTTGTTCTTGCAATTTTGCACACGCTAGGCCCTTGTTCATTTTATTTTGCACACGCTAAGCCCTTGTTCTTTTTATTTTGCACATGCTATGCCCTTGTTCTTTTTATTTTGCACACGCTATGCCCTTGTTCTTTTTATTTTGCACACGCTAGGCCCTTGTTTTTTGCAATTTTGCACATGCTAGACCCTTGTTCTTTTTATTTTGCACACGCTAGGCCCTTGTTCTTGCTATGTCGCAAACGCTAGGCCCTTGTTCTTTTTGTTTTTGCACACGCTAGGCCCTTGTTCTTTTTATTTTGCACACGCTAGGCCCTTGCTCTTGCTATTTTGCACTCGCTAGGCCCTTGTTCTTGCAATTTTGCACACGCTAGGCCCTTGTTCTTGCAATTTTGCACACGCTAGGCCCTTGTTCTTTTTTTTTTGCACACGCTAGGCCCTTGTTCTTCTTATTTTGCACACGCTAGGCCCTTGTTCTTGCAATTTTGCACATGCTAGACCCTTGTTCGTTTTATTTTGCACAGGCTAGGCCCTTGTTCTTGCTATTTCGCGAACGCTAGGCCCTTGTTCTTGATTTTTTGCACACGCTAGGCCCTTGGTCTTGCTATTTTGCACTCGCTAGGCCCTTGTTCTATCGATTTTGCACACGCTAGGCCCTTGTTCTTGCAATTTTGCACACGCTAGGCCCTTGTTCTTTTTATTTTGCACACGCTATGCCCTTGTTCTTTTTATTTTGCACACGCTATGCCCTTGTTCTTTTAATTTTGCACACGCTATGCCCTTGTTCTTTATATTTTGCACACGCTATGCCCTTGTTCTTTTTATTTTGCACAAGCTAGGCCCTTGTTCTTTTTATTTTGCGCACGCTAGGCTCTTGTTCTTGCTATTTTGCACACGCTATCCCCTTGTTCTTTTTATTTTGCACACGCTTGGCCCTCGTTCTTACAATTTTGCACATGCTAGATCCTTGTTCTTTTTATTTTGCACACGCTAGGCCCGTGCTCTTGCTATTTCGCGAACGCTAGGCCCTTGTTCTTGATTTTTTGCACACGCTAGACCCTTGCTCTTGCTATTTTGCACTCGCTAGGCCTGTGTTCTTGCGATTTTGCACACGCTAGGCCCTTGTTCTTGCAATTTTGCACACGCTAGGCCCTTGTTCATTTTATTTTGCACACGCTAAGCCCTTGTTCTTTTTATTTTGCACATGCTATGCCCTTGTTCTTTTTATTTTGCACACGCTATGCCCTTGTTCTTTTTATTTTGCCCACGCTATGCTCTTGTTCTTGCTATTTTGCACACGCTATCCCCTTGTTCTTTTTATTTTGCATACGCTTGGCCCTTGTTCTTGCAATTTTGCACATGCTAGACCCTTGTTCTTTTTATTTTGCACACGCTAGGCCCGTGCTCTTGCTATTTCGCGAACGCTAGGCCCTTGTTCTTGATTTTTTGCACACGCTAGGCCCTTGCTCTTGCTATTTTGCACTCGCTAGGCCCATGTTCTTGCAATTTTGCACACGCTAGGCCCTTGTTCTTGCAAATTTGCACACGCTAGGCCCTTGTTCATTTTATTTTGCACACGCTAAGCCCTTGTTCTTTTTATTTTGCACATGCTATGCCCTTGTTCTTTTTATTTTGCACACGCTATGCCCTTGTTTTTTTTATTTTGCACACGCTAGGCCCTTGTTTTTTGCAATTTTGCACATGCTAGACCCTTGTTCTTTTTATTTTGCACACGCTAGGCCCTTGTTCTTGCTATGTCGCAAACGCTAGGCCCTTGTTTTTTTTTTTTTTGCACACGCTAGGCCCTTGTTCTTTTTATTTTGCACACGCTAGGCCCTTGCTCTTGCTATTTTGCACTCGCTAGGCCCTTGTTCTTGCAATTTTGCACACGCTAGGCCCTTGTTCTTGCAATTTTGCACACGCTAGGCCCTTGTTCTTTTTTTTTTTGCACACGCTAGGCCCTTGTTCTTCTTATTTTGCACACGCTAGGCCCTTGTTCTTGCAATTTTGCACATGCTAGACCCTTGTTCGTTTTATTTTGCACAGGCTAGGCCCTTGTTCTTGCTATTTCGCGAACGCTAGGCCCTTGTTCTTGATTTTTTGCACACGCTAGGCCCTTGCTCTTGCTATTTTGCACTCGCTAGGCCCTTGTTCTATCGATTTTGCACACGCTAGGCCCTTGTTCTTGCAATTTTGCACACGCTAGGCCCTTGTTCTTTTTATTTTGCACACGCTATGCCCTTGTTCTTTTTATTTTGCACACGCTATGCCCTTGTTCTTTTAATTTTGCACACGCTATGCCCTTGTTCTTTATATTTTGCACACGCTATGCCCTTGTTCTTTTTATTTTGCACAAGCTAGGCCCTTGTTCTTTTTATTTTGCACACGCTAGGCTCTTGTTCTTGCTATTTTGCACACGCTATCCCCTTGTTCTTTTTATTTTGCACACGCTTGGCCCTCGTTCTTACAATTTTGCACATGCTAGATCCTTGTTCTTTTTATTTTGCACACGCTAGGCCCGTGCTCTTGCTATTTCGCGAACGCTAGGCCCTTGTTCTTGATTTTTTGCACACGCTAGGCCCTTGCTCTTGCTATTTTGCACTCGCTAGGCCTGTGTTCTTGCGATTTTGCACACGCTAGGCCCTTGTTCTTGCAATTTTGCACACGCTAGGCCCTTGTTCTTTTTATTTTGCACATGCTATGCCCTAGTTCTTTTTATTTTGCACACGCTATGCCCTGGTTCTTTTTTTTTTGCGCACGCTAGGACCTTGTTCTTGCAATTTTGCACATGCTAGACCCTTGTTCTTTTTATTTTGTACACGCTTGGCCCTTGTTCTTGCTATTTCGCAAACGCTAGGCCCTTGTTCTTTTTTTTTTGCACACGCTAGGCCCTTGTTCTTTTTATTTTGCACACGCTAGGCCCTTGCTCTTGCTATTTTGCACTCGCTAGGCCCTTGTTCTTGCAATTTTGCACACGCTAGGCCCTTGTTCTTGCAATTTTGCACACGCTAGGCCCTTGTTCTTTTTATTTTGCACACGCTAGGCCCTTGTTCTTTTTATTTTGCACACGCTAGGCCCTTGTTCTTGCAATTTTGCACATGCTAGACCCTTGTTCGTTTTATTTTGCACAGGCTAGGCCCTTGTTCTTGCTATTTCGCGAACGCTAGGCCCTTGTTCTTGATTTTTTGCACACGCTAGGCCCTTGCTCTTGCTATTTTGCACTCGCTAGGCCCTTGTTCTATCGATTTTGCACACGCTAGGCCCTTGTTCTTGCAATTTTGCACACGCTAGGCCCTTGTTCTTTTTATTTTGCACACGCTATGCCCTTGTTCTTTTTATTTTGCACACGCTATGCCCTTGTTCTTTTAATTTTGCACACGCTATGCCCTTGTTCTTTTTATTTTGCACACGCTATGCCCTTGTTCTTTTTATTTTGCACAAGCTAGGCCCTTGTTCTTTTTATTTTGCGCACGCTAGGCTCTTGTTCTTGCTATTTTGCACACGCTATCCCCTTGTTCTTTTTAATTTGCACACGCTTGGCCCTCGTTCTTGCAATTTTGCACATGCTAGATCCTTGTTCTTTTTATTTTGCACACGCTAGGCCCGTGCTCTTGCTATTTCGCGAACGCTAGGCCCTTGTTCTTGATTTTTTGCACACGCTAGGCCCTTGCTCTTGCTATTTTGCACTCGCTAGGCCCGTGTTCTTGCGATTTTGCACACGCTAGGCCCTTGTTCTTGCAATTTTGCACACGCTAGGCCCTTGTTCTTTTTATTTTGCACATGCTATGCCCTTGTTCTTTTTATTTTGCACACGCTATGCCCTGGTTCTTTTTATTTTGCGCACGCTAGGACCTTGTTCTTGCAATTTTGCACATGCTACACCCTTGTTCTTTTTATTTTGTACACGCTAGGCCCTTGTTCTTGCTATTTCGCAAACGCTAGGCCCTTGTTTTTTTTTTTTTGCACACACTAGGCCCTTGTTCTTTTTATTTTGCACACGCTAGGCCCTTGCTCTTGCTATTTTGCACTCGCTAGGCCCTTGTTCTTGCAATTTTGCATACGCTAGGCCCTTGTTCTTGCAATTTTGCACACGCTAGGCCCTTGTTCTTGCAATTTTGCACACGCTAGGCCCTTGTTCTTTTTATTTTGCACACGCTAGGACCTTGTTCTTGCAATTTTGCACATGCTACACCCTTGTTCGTTTTATTTTGCACACGCTAGGCCCTTCTTCTTGCTATTTCGCGAACGCTAGGCCCTTGTTCTTGATGTTTTGCACACGCTAGGCCCTTGCTCTTGCTATTTTGCACTCGCTAGGCCCTTGTTCTATCGATTTTGCACACGCTAGGCCCTTGTTCTTGAAATTTTGCACACGCTAGGCCCTTGTTCTTTTTATTTTGCACACGCTATGCCCTTGTTCTTTTTATTTTGCACACGCTATGCCCTTGTTCTTTTTATTTTGCACACGCTATGCCCTTGTTCTTTTTATTTTGCATACGCTTGGCCCTTGTTCTTGCAATTTTGCACATGCTAGACCCTTGTTCTTTTTATTTTGCACACGCTAGGCCCTTGTTCTTGCTATTTCGCGAACGCTAGGCCCTTGTTCTTGATTTTTTGCACACGCTAGGCCCTTGCTCTTGCTATATTGCATTCGCTAGGCCCTTGTTCTTGCAATTTTGCACATGCTAGGCCCTTGTTCTTTTTATTTTGCACACGTTAGGCCTTTTGGGCGGGGTGATGGAAAGCGGGAGTATGGAGCGGGGTGATGGAAATCGGGAGAATGGGGTGGAGTGATGGAAAGCGGGAGAGGGGCGGGGTGATGTAAATCGGGAGAATGGGGCGGGGTGGTGGAAAGCGGGAGAATGGGGCGGGATGATGGAAAGCGGGAGAATGGGGCGGGTAATGGGAAGAGGGAGAATGGGACGGGGTGATGGAAAGTGGGAGAATGGGGCGGGGTGATAGAAAGCGGGAGAATGGGGCCGGGTGATAGAAAGCGGGAGAATAAGGCGGGGTGATGGAAATGGAGAGAATTGGGCGAAGTGATGGAAAGCGGGAGAATGGGGCGGGGTGATGGAAAGCGGGAGAATGGGGCGGGGTGGTGGAAAGCGGGAGAATGGGGCGGGGTGGTGGAAAGCGGGAGAATGGGGCGGAGTGATGGAAAGCGGGAGAATGGGGCGGGGTGATGGAAAGAGGGAGAATGGGGCGGGGTGATGGAAAGAGGGAGAATGGGGCGGGGTGATGGAAAGCGGGAGAATGGCGCGGGGTGATGGAAAGAGGGAGAATGGGGCGGGGTGATGGAAAGCGGGAGAATGGCGCGGGGTGGTGGAAAGCGGGAGAATGGGGCGGGGTGATGGAAAGCGGGAGAATGGAGCGGGGTGATGGATGGCGGGAGAATGAGGCGGGGTGATGGAAAGAGGGAGAATGGGGGGGGGTGATGGAAAGCGGGAGAATGGGGCGGATGATGGAAAGCGGGAGAATGGGGCGGGGTGATGGAAAGAGGGAGAATGGGGCGGGGTGATGGAAAGTGAGAGAATAAGGCGGGGTGATGGAAAGAGGGAGAATGGGCCGGGGTGATGGAAAGCGGGAGAATGGGGCGGTTTGATGGAAAGAGGGAGAATGAGGAGGGGTGATGGAAAGAGGGAGAATTGGGCGGGGTGATGGAAATCGGGAGAATGGAGCGGGGTGATGGAAAGCGGGAGAATGGGGAGGGGTGATAGAAAGACGTAGAATGGGGCGGGGTGATGGAAAGCGGGAGAGTGGGGCGGGGTGATGGAAAGAGGGAGAATGGGGCGGGGCGATGGAAGGCGGGAGAATGGGGCGGGGTGATGCAAATCGAGAGAATGGGGTGGGGTGATGGAAAGCGGGAGAATGGGGTGGGGTGATGGAAAGCGGGAGAATGGGGCGGGGTGATGGAAGGCGGGAGAATGGGGCGGGGTGATGGATAGAGGGAGAATGGGGCGGGATGATGGAAAGCGGGAGAATGGGGCGGGTGATGGAAAGCGGGAGAATGGGGCGGGGTGATGGAAAGAGGGAGAATGGGGCGGGGTGATGGAAAGCGAGAGAATGGGGCGGGGTGATGGAAAGAGGGAGAATGGGGCGGGGTGATGGAAAGCGGGAGAATGGGGCGGGTTGATGGAAAGAGGGAGAATGGGGAGGGGTGATGGAAAGAGGGAGAATTGGGCGGGGTGATCGAAAGCGAGAGAATGGAGCGGGGTGATGGAAAGCGGGAGAATGGGGCGGGGTGATAGAAAGCGGGAGAATGGGGCGGGGTGATAGAAAGAGGGAGAATGGGGCGGGGTGATGGAAAGCGGGAAAATGGGGCGGGGTGATGGAAAGAGGGAGAATGGGGCGGGTTGATGGAAAGAGGGAGAATGGGGCAGGGTGATGGAAAGCGGGAGAATGGGGCGGGGTGATGGAAAGAGGGAGAATGGGGCGGGGTGATAGAAAGAGGGAGAATTGGGCGGGGTGATGGAAAGCGGGAGAATGGAGCGGGGTGATGGAAAGCGGGAGAATGGGGCGGGGTGATGGAAAGCGGGATGATGGGGCGGATGATGGAAAGAGGGAAAATAGGGTGTGGTGATGGAAAGCGGGAGAATTGGGCGGGGTGATGGAAAGCGGGAGAATGGAGCGGGGTGATGGAAAGAGGGAGAACGGGGCGGGGTGATGGAAAGCGGGAGAATGGGGCGGGGTGATGGAAAGAGGGAGAATGGGGCGGGGTGATGGAAAGCGGGAGAATGGGGCGGGGTGATGGAAAGAGGGAGAATGGGGCGGGGTGGTGGAAAGAGGGAGAATGGGGCGTGGTGATGGAAAGCGGGAGAATGGGGCGGGGTGATGGAAAGAGGGAGAATGGGGAGGGGTGATGGAAAGAGGGAGAATTGGGCGGGGTGATGGAAAGCGGGAGAATGGAGCGGGGTGATGGAACGAGGGAAAATGGAGCGGGGTGAAGGAATGCGGGAGAATGAGGCGGGGTGATGGAAAGAGGGAGAATGGGGCGGGGTGATAGAAAGCGGGAGAATGGGGCAGGGTGATGGAAAGAGGGAGAATGGGGCGGGGTGATGGAAAGCGGGAGAATGGGGCGGGGTGATGGAAAGAGGGAGAATGGGGCGGGGTGGTGGAAAGAGGGAGAATGGGGCGTGGTGATGGAAAGCGGGAGAATGGGGCGGGGTGATGGAAAGAGGGAGAATGGGGAGGGGTGATGGAAAGAGGGAGAATTGGGCGGGGTGATGGAAAGCGGGAGAATGGAGCGGGGTGATGGAACGAGGGAAAATGGGGCGGGGTGAAGGAATGCGGGAGAACGAGGCGGGGTGATGGAAAGAGGGAGAATGGGGCGGGGTGATGGAAAGAGGGAGAATGGGGCGGGGTGATGGAAAGCGGGAGAATGGGGCGGGGTGATGGAAAGAGGGAGAATGGGGCGGGGTGATGGAAGGCGGGAGAATGGGGCGGGGTGATGCAAATCAGGAGAATGGGGTGGGGTGATGGAAAGCGGGAGAATGGGGCGGGGTGATGGAAAGCGGGAGAATGGAGCGGGGTGATGGATGGCGGGAGAATGAGGCGGGGTGATGGAAAGAGGGAGAATGGGGGGGGGTGATGGAAAGCGGGAGAATGGGGCGGGTGATGGAAAGCGGGAGAATGGGGCGGGGTGATGGAAAGAGGGAGAATGGGGCGGGGTGATGGAAAGCGAGAGAATAAGGCGGGGTGATGGAAAGAGGGAGAATGGGCCGGGGTGATGGAAAGCGGGAGAATGGGGCGGTTTGATGGAATGAGGGAGAATGAGGAGGGGTGATGCAAAGAGGGAGAATTGGGCGGAGTGATGGAAATCGGGAGAATGGAGCGGGGTGATGGAAAGCGGGAGAATGGGGCGGGGTGATAGAAAGACGTAGAATGGGGCGGGTGATGGAAAGCGGGAGAGTGGGGCGGGGTGATGGAAAGAGGGAGAATGGGGCGGGGCGATGGAAGGCGGGAGAATGGGGCGGGGTGATGCAAATCGAGAGAATGGGGTGGGGTGATGGAAAGCGGGAGAATGGGGTGGGGTGATGGAAAGCGGGAGAATGGGGCGGGGTGATGGAAGGCGGGAGAATGGGGCGGGGTGATGGATAGAGGGAGAATGGGGCGGGATGATGGAAAGCGGGAGAATGGGGCGGGTGATGGAAAGCGGGAGAATGGGGCGGGGTGATGGAAAGAGGGAGAATGGGGCGGGGTGATGGAAAGCGAGAGAATGGGGCAGGGTGATGGAAAGAGGGAGAATGGGGCGGGGTGATGGAAAGCGGGAGAATGGGGCGGGTTGATGGAAAGAGGGAGAATGGGGAGGGGTGATGGAAAGAGGGAGAATTGGGCGGGGTGATCGAAAGCGAGAGAATGGAGCGGGGTGATGGAAAGCGGGAGAATGGGGCGGGGTGATAGAAAGCGGGAGAATGGGGCGGGGTGATAGAAAGAGGGAGAATGGGGCGGAGTGATGGAAAGCGGGAAAACGGGGCGGGGTGATGGAAAGAGGGAGAATGGGGCGGGGTGATGGAAAGAGGGAGAATGGGGCAGGGTGATGGAAAGCGGGAGAATGGGGCGGGGTGATGGAAAGAGGGAGAATGGGGCGGGGTGATAGAAAGAGGGAGAATTGGGCGGGGTGATAGAAAGCGGGAGAATGGAGCGGGGTGATGGAAAGCGGGAGAATGGGGCGGGGTGATGGAAAGCGGGATGATGGGGCGGGGTGATGGAAAGAGGGAAAATAAGGCGTGGTGATGGAAAGCGGGAGAATGGAGCGGGGTGATGGAAAGAGGGAGAACGGGGCGGGGTGATGGAAAGCGGGAGAATGGGGCGGGGTGATGGAAAGAGGGAGAATGGGGCGGGGTGATGGAAAGCGGGAGAATGGGGCGGGGTGATGGAAAGAGGGAGAATGGGGCGGGGTGGTGGAAAGAGGGAGAATGGGGCGTGGTGATGGAAAGCGGGAGAATGGGGCGGGGTGATGGAAAGAGGGAGAATGGGGAGGGGTGATGGAAAGAGGGAGAATTGGGCGGGGTGATGGAAAGCGGGAGAATGGAGCGGGGTGATGGAACGAGGGAAAATGGGGCAGGGTGAAGGAATGCGGGAGAATGAGGCGGGGTGATGGAAAGAGGGAGAATGGGGCGGGGTGATGGAAAGCGGGAGAATGGGGCGAGGTGATGGAAAGCGGGAGAATGGGGCTGGGTGATGGAAAGTGGGAGAATGGGGCGGGGTGATGGAAAGCGGGAGAATGGGGCGGGGTGATGGAAAGCGGGAGACTGGGGCGAGGTGATGGAAATTGGGAAAATGGGGCGGGGTAATGGAAAGCGGGAGAATGGGGCGGGGTGATGGAAAGAGGGAGAATGGGGCGGAGTGATGGAAGGCGGGAGAATGGGGCCGGGTGATGGAAAGGGGGAGAATTGGGCAGGGTGATGGAAATATGGCGAATAGGGCGGGGTGATGGAAGGCAGGAAAATGGGGCGGGGTGATGGAAAGAGGGAGAAAGGGGCGGTGTGATAGAAAGCAGGAGAATGGGGCGGGGTGATGGAAAGAGGGAGAATGGGAGGGGTGATGGAAAGAGTGAGAATGGGGTGGGGTGATGGAAAGCGGGAGAATGGGGCAGGGTGTTGGAAAGAGGGAGAATGGGGCGGGATGATGGAAATGGGGAGAATGGGGCGGGGTGATGGAAAGCGGAGAACAGGGCGGGGTGATGGAAATCGGGAGAATGGGTCGGGGTGATGGAAAGCGGGGGAATAAGGCGGGGTGATGGAAAGCGAGAGAATGGGGCGGGTTGATGGAAAACGGGAGAATGGGATGGGGTGATGGAAAGTGGGAGAATTGGGCGGGGTGATGGATAGAGGGAGAATGGGGCGGGGTGATGGAAAGCGGGAGAATGGGGCGGGGTGATGGAAAGAGGGAGAATGGGGTGGGGTGATGGAAAGCGTGAGAATGGGGCGGGGTGATGGAAAGAGGGAGAATGGGGCGGGGTGATGGAAGGCGGGAGAATTGGGCGGGGTGATGGAAAGCGGGAGAATTGGGCGGGGTGATGGAAAGCGGGAGAATGGGGCGGGGTGATGAAAGGCGGGAGAATGGGGCGGGGTGATGGAAAGAGGGAGAATGGAGAGGGGTGATAGAAAGAGGGAGAATTGGGCGGGGTGATGGAAAGCGGGAGAATGGAGCAGGGTGATCCAAAGCGAGAGAATGGGGCGGGGTGATGGAAAGCGGGAGAATGGGGCAGGGTGATGGAAAGAGGGAAAATGGGGCGTGGTGATGGAAAGAGGGAGAATGGGGCGGGGTGATGGAAAGCGGGAGAATGGGGCGGGGTGATGGAAAGAGGGAGAATGGGGCGGGGTGATGGAAAGCGGGAGAATGGGGCGGGGTGATGGAAAGAGGGAGAATGGGGCGGGGTGATGGAAAGAGGGAGAATGGGGCGGGGTGATGGAAAGCGGGAGAATGGGGCAGGGTGATGGAAAGAGGGAGAATGGGGAGGGGTGATGGAAAGAGGGAGAATTGGGCGGGGTTATGGAAAGCGGGAGAATGGAGTGGGGTGATGGAAGGAGGGAAAATGGGGCGGGGTGATGGAATGCGGGAGAATGGGGCGGGGTGATGGAAAGAGGGAGAATGGGGCTGGGTGATGGAAAGCGGGAGAATGGGGCGCGGTGATGGAAAGCGGAGGAATGGGGCGGGGTGATGGAAAGCGGAAGAATGGGGCGGGGTGATGGAAAGCGGGAGAATGGGGCGGGGTGATGGAAATCGGGAAAATGTGGCGGGATGATGGAAAGCGGGAGAATGGGGCGGGGTGATGGAAAGAGGGAGAATGGGGCGGGGTGATGGAAGGCGGGAGAATGGGGCGGGGTGATGGAAAGGGGGAGAGTTGGGCAGGGTGATGGAAAGATGGAGAAAGGGGCGGGGTGATGGAAGGCGGGAGAATGGGGCGGGGTTATGGAAAGAGGGAGAATGGGGCGGGGTGATAGAAAGCAGGAGAATGGTGCGGGGAGATGGAAAGAGGGAGAATGGGGAAGGGTGATGGAAAGAGTGAGAATGGGGCAGGGTGTTGGAAAGCGGGAGAATGGAGCGGGCGGGGTGATTGAAAGAGGGAGAATGGAGCGGGGTGATGGAAAGCGGGAGAATGGGGCCGGGTGATGGAAAGAGGGAGAATGGGGCGGGGTGATGGAAAGCGGGAGAATGGGGCGGGGTGATGGAAAGAGGGAGAATGGGGCGGGGTGATGGAAAGAGGGAGAATTGGGCGGGGTGATGGAAAGCGGGAGAATGGAGCGGGGAGATGGAAAGAGTGAAAATGGGGCAGGGTGATGGAAAGCGGGAGAATGGGGCGGGGTGATGGAAAGAGGGAGAATGGGGCGGGGTGATGGAAAGCGGGAGAATGGGGCGGGGTGATGGAAAGCGGGAGAATGGGGCGGGGTGATGGAAAGCAGGAGAATGGGGCTGGGTGATGGAAAGCGGGAGAATGGGGCGGGGTGATGGAAAGTGGGAAAATGGGGCGGGGTGATGGAAAGCGAGAGAATGGGGCGGGGTGATGGAAAGAGGGAGAATGGGGCGAGGTGATGGATGGCGGGAGAATGGGGCGGGGTGATGGAAAGGGGGAGAATTGGGCAGGGTGATGGAAAGATGGAGAATGGGGCGGGATGATGGAAGGCGGGAGAATGGGGCGGGGTGATGGAAAGAGGGAGAATAGGGCGGGAGATAGAAAGCAGGAGAATGGGGCGGGGTGATGGAAAGAGGGAGAATGGGGAGGGGTGATGGAAAGAGTGAGAATGGGGCAGGGTGATGGAAAGTGGGAGAATGGGGCGGGTTGATGGAAAGCGGGAGAATGGGGCGGGGTGATGGAAATCGGAAGAATTGGGCGGGGTGATGGAAAGCGGGAGAATGGGGCGGGGTGATGGAAATTGGGAGAATGGGGCGGGGTGATGGAAAACGGGAGAATAAGGCGGGGTGATGGAAAGCGAGAGAATGGGGCGGGGTGATGGATAGAGGGAGAATGGGGCGGGGTGATGGAAAGTGGGAGAATGGGGCGGGGTGATGGAAAGAGGGAGATTGGGGCGGGGTGATGGAAGGCGGGAGAATGGGGCGGGGTGATGGAAAGCGGGAGAATTGGGCGGGGTGATGGAAAGCGGGAGAATGGGGCGGGGTGATAAAAGGCGGGAGAATGGGGCGGGGTGATGGAAAGAGGGAGAATGGGGCGGGGTGATGGAAAGCATGAGAATGGGGCGGGGTGATGGAAAGAGGGAGAATGGGGCGGGGTGATGGAAGGCGGGAGAATGGGGCGGGGTGATGGAAAGCGGGAGAATTGGGCGGGGTGATGGAAAGCGGGAGAATGGGGCGGGGTGATAAAAGGCGGGAGAATGGGGCGGGGTGATGGAAAGAGGGAGAATGGGGCGGGGTGATGGAAAGCGGGAGAATGGGGCGGGGTGATGGAAAGAGGGAGAATGGGGAGGGGTGATGGAAATCGGGAGAACGGGGCGGGGTGATGGAAAGCGGGAGAATTGGGCGGGGTGATGGAAAGCGGGAGGAATGGGGCGGGGTGATGAAAGGCAGGAGAATGGGGCGGGGTGATGGAAAGAGGGAGAATGGGGCGGGGTGATGGAAAGCGGGAGAATGGGGAGGGGTGATGGAAAGAGTGAGAATGGGGCAGGGTGATGGAAAGCGGGAAAATGGGGCGGGTTGATGGAAAGCAGGAGAATGGGGCGGGGTGGAGGAAAGAGGGAGAATGGGGCGGGGTGATGGAAAGAGGGAGAATGGGGCGGGGAGATGGAAAGAGGAAGATTGGGGCGGGGTGATGGAAAGAGGGAGAATGGGGCGGGGTGACGGAAATCGGGAGAATGGGGCGGGGTGATGGAAAGAGGGAGAATGGGGCGGGGTAACGGAAATCGGGAGAATGGGGCGGGGTGATGGAAAGAGGGAGAATGGGGCGGGGAGATGGAAAAGGGAAGAATGGGGCGGGGTGATGGAAAGCGGGCGAATGGGGCGGGGTGATGGAAAGAGGGAGAATGGGACGGGGTGATGGAAAGCGGGAGAATGGGGCGGGGTGATGGAAAGCGGGAGAATGGGGCGGGGTGATGGAAAGAGGGAGAATGGGGCCATGTGATGGAAAGAGGGAGAATGGGGCGGGGTGATGGAAAGAGGGAGAATGGGGCGGGGTGATGGAAAGGGGGAGAATGGGGAGGGGTGATGGAAAGAGGGAGAATTGGGCGGGGTGATGGAAAGCGGGAGAATGGAGCGGGGTGATGGAAAGAGTGAAAATGGGGCAGGGTGATGGAAAGCGGGAGAATGGGGCGGGGTGATGGAAAGAGGGAGAATGGGGCGGGGTGATGGAAAGCGGGAGAATGGGGCGGGGTGATGGAAAGTGGGAGAATGGGGCGGGGTGATGGAAAGCGGGAGAATGGGGTGGGGTGATGGAAAGCGGGAGAATGGGGCGGGGTGATGGAAAGCGGGAGAATGGGGCGGGGTGATGGAAAGCGGGAGAATGGGGCGGGGTGATGGAAATCGGGAGAATGGGGCGGGGTGATGGAAAGAGGGAGAATGGGGCGGAATGATGGAAAGCGGGAGAATGGGGCGGGTGATGGAAAGTGGGAGAATGGGGCGGGGTGATGGAAAGAGGGAGAATGGGGCGGGGTGATGGAAAGCGAGAGAATGGGGCGGGGTGATGGAAAGAGGGAGTATGGTGCGGGGTGATGGAAAGCGGGAGAATGGGGCGGGTTGATGGAAAGAGGGAGAATGGGGAGGGGTGATGGAAAGAGGGAGAATTGGGCGGGGTGATGGAAAGCGGGAGAATGGAGCGGGGTGATGGAAAGCGGGAGAATGGAGTGGGGTGATGGAAAGAGGGAGAATGGGGCGGGGTGATGGAAAGAGGGAGAATGGGGCGGGGTGATGGAAAGCGGGAGAATGGGGCGGGGTGATGGAAAGAGGGAGAATGGAGAGGGGTGATAGAAAGAGGGAGAATTGGGCGGGGTGATGGAAAGCGGGAGAATGGAGCGGGGTGATGGAAAGCGGGAGAATGGGGCGGGGTGATGGAAAGAGGGAGAATGGGGCGGGGTGATGGAAAGAGGGAGAATGAGGAGGGGAGATGGAAAGAGGGAGAATTGGGCGGGGTGATGGAAAGCGGGGGAATGGAGCGGGGTGATGAAAAGAGGGAGAATGGGGCGGGGTGATGGAAAGCGGGAGAATGGGGCGGGGTGATGGAAAGAGGGAGAATGGGGCGGGGTGATGGAAAGCGGGAGAATGGGGCGGGGTGATGGAAAGAGGGAGAATGGGGCGGGGTGGTGGAAAGAGGGAGAATGGGGCGTGGTGATGGAAAGCGGGAGAATGGGGCGGGGTGATGGAAAGAGGGAGAATGGGGAGGGGTGATGGAAAAAGGGAGAATTGGGCGGGTTGATGGAAAGCGGGAGAATGGAGCGGGGTGATGGAACGAGGGAAAATGGAGCGGGGTGAAGGAAGGCGGGAGAATGGGGCGGGATGATGGAAAGGGGGAGAATTGGGCAGGGTGATGGAAAGATGGAGAATGGGGCGGGGTGATGGAAGGCGGGAGAATGGGGCGGGGTGATGGAAAGCAGGAGAATGGGGCGGGGAGATGGAAAGAGGGAGCATGGGAAGGGGTGATGGAAAGAGTGAGATAGGGGTGGGGTGATGGAAAGCGGGAGAATGGGGCAGGGTGTTGGAAAGCGGGAGAATGGGGCGGGGTGATGGAAATCGGGAGAATGGGGCGGGGTGATGGAAAGCGGAGATTGGGGCGGGGTGATGGAAAGCGGGAGAATAAGGCGGGGTGATGGAAAGCGAGAGAATGGGGCGGGGTGATGGAAAACGGGAGAATGGGATGGGGTGATGGAAAGTGGGAGAATTGGGCGGGGTGATCGATAGAGGGAGAATGGGGCGGGGTGATGGAAAGCGGGAGAATGGGGCGGGGAGATGGAAAGAGGAAGAATGGGGTGGGGTGATGGAAAGCGTGAGAATGGGGCGGGGTGATGGAAAGAGGGAGAATGGGGCGGGGTGATGGAAGGCGGGAGAATGGAGCGAGGTGATGGAAAGCGGGAGAATTGGGCGGGGTGATGGAAAGCGGGAGATTGGGGCGGGGTGATGAAAGGCGGGAGAATGGGGCGGGATGATGGAAAGAGGGAGAATGGAGAGGGGTGATAGAAAGAGGGAGAATTGGGCGGGGTGATGGCAAGCGGGAGAATGGAGCGGGGTGATCGAAAGCGAGAGAATGGGGCGGGGTGATGGAAAGAGGGAGAAAAAGGAGGGGTGATGGACAGAGGGAGAATTGGGCGGGGTGATGGAAAGCGGGAGAATGGAGCGGGGTGATGGAAAGAGGGAGAATGGGGCGGGGTGATGGAAAGCGGGAGAATGGGGCGGGGTGATGGAAATCCGGAGAATGGGGCGGGGTGATGGAAAGCAGGAGAATGGGGCGGGGTGATGGAAAGAGGGAGAATGGGGCGGGGTGATTGAAAGAGGGAGAATGGGGCGGGGTGATGGAAAGCGGGAGAACTGGGCGGGGTGATGGAAAACAGGAGAATGGGGAGGGGTGATGGAAAGAGGGAGAATTGGGCGGGGTGATGGAAAGCCGGAGAATGGAGCGGGGTGATGGAACGAGGGAAAATGGGGCGGGGTGATGAAATGCGGGAGAATGGGGCGGGGTGATGGAAAGAGGGAGAATGGGGCTGGGTGATGGAAAGCGGGAGAATGGGGCGGGGTGATGGAAAGCGGGAGAATGGGGCGGGGTGTTGGAAAGCGGGAGAATGGGGCACGGTGATGGAAAGCTGGAGAATGGGGCGGGGTGATGGAAATCGGGAAAATGGGGTGGGGTGATGGAAAGCGGGAGAATGGGGCGGGGTGATGGAAAGAGGGAGAATGGGGCGGGGTGATGGAAGGCGAGAGAATGGGGCGGGGTGATGGAAAGGGGGAGAATTGGGCAGGGTGATGGAAAGATGGAGAATGGGGCAGGGTGATGGAAGGCGGGAGAATGGGGCGGGGTGATGGAAAGAGGGAGAATGGGGCGGGGTGATAGAAAGCAGGAGAATGGGGCGGGGTGATGGAAAGAGGGAGAATTGAGAGGGGTGATGGAAAAAGTGAGAATGGGGTGGGGTGATGGAAAGCGGGAGAATGGGGCAGTGTGTTGGAAAGCGGGAGATTGAAGCGGGCGGGGTGATGGAAAGCGGGAGAATGGGGCGGGGTGATGGAAAGAGGGAGAATGGGGCCGGGTGATGGAAAGAGGGAAAATGGGGCGGGGTGATGGAAAGCGGGAGAATGGGGCGGGGTGATGGAAAAGAGAATGGGGAGGGGTGATGGAAAGAGGGAGAATTGGGCGGGGTGATGGAAAGCGGGAGAATGGAGCGGGGTGATGGAAAGAGTGAAAATGGGGCAGGGTGATTGAAAGTGGGAGAATGGGGCGGGGTGATGGAAAGAGGGAGAATGGGGCGGGGTGATGGAAAGCGGGAGAATGGGGCGGGGTGATGGAAAGCGGGAGAATGGGGCGGGGTGATGGAAAGCGGGAGAATGGGGCGCGGTGATGGAAAGCGGGAGAATGGGGCGGGGTGATGGAAAGAGGGAGAATGGAGAGGGGTGATAGAAAGAGGGAGAATTGGGCGGGGTGATGGAAAGCGGGAGAATGGAGCGGGGTGATGGAAAGCGGGAGAATGGGGCGGGGTGATGGAAAGAGGGAGAATGGGGCGGGGTGATGGAAAGAGGGAGAATGGGGCGGGGTGATGGAAAGCGGGAGAATGGGGCGGGGTGATGGAAAGAGGGAGAATGGAGAGGGGTGATAGAAAGAGGGAGAATTGGGCGGGGTGATGGAAAGCGGGAGAATGGAGCGGGATGATGGAAAGCGGGAGAATGGGGCGGGGTGATGGAAAGAGGGAGAATGGGGCGGGGTGATGGAAAGAGGGAGAATGAGGAGGGGAGATGGAAAGAGGGAGAATTGGGCGGGGTGATGGAAAGCGGGGGAATGGAGCGGGGTGATGAAAAGAGGGAGAATGGGGCGGGGTGATGGAAAGCGGGAGAATGGGGCGGGGTGATGGAAAGAGGGAGAATGGGGCGGGGTGATGGAAAGCGGGAGAATGGGGCGGGGTGATGGAAAGAGGGAGAATGGGGCGGGGTGGTGGAAAGAGGGAGAATGGGGCGTGGTGATGGAAAGCGGGAGAATGGGGCGGGGTGATGGAAAGAGGGAGAATGGGGAGGGGTGATGGAAAAAGGGAGAATTGGGCGGGGTGATGGAAAGCGGGAGAATGGAGCGGGGTGATGGAACGAGGGAAAATGGAGCGGGGTGAAGGAAGGCGGGAGAATGGGGCGGGATGATGGAAAGGGGGAGAATTGGGCAGGGTGATGGAAAGATGGAGAATGGGGCGGGGTGATGGAAGGCGGGAGAATGGGGCGGGGTGATGGAAAGCAGGAGAATGGGGCGGGGAGATGGAAAGAGGGAGCATGGGAAGGGGTGATGGAAAGAGTGAGATAGGGGTGGGGTGATGGAAAGCGGGAGAATGGGGCAGGGTGTTGGAAAGCGGGAGAATGGGGCGGGGTGATGGAAATCGGGAGAATGGGGCGGGGTGATGGAAAGCGGAGATTGGGGCGGGATGATGGAAAGCGGGAGAATAAGGCGGGGTGATGGAAAGCGAGAGAATGGGGCGGGGTGATGGAAAACGGGAGAATGGGATGGGGTGATGGAAAGTGGGAGAATTGGGCGGGGTGATCGATAGAGGGAGAATGGGGCGGGGTGATGGAAAGCGGGAGAATGGGGCGGGGAGATGGAAAGAGGAAGAATGGGGTGGGGTGATGGAAAGCGTGAGAATGGGGCGGGGTGATGGAAAGAGGGAGAATGGGGCGGGGTGATGGAAGGCGGGAGAATGGAGCGAGGTGATGGAAAGCGGGAGAATTGGGCGGGGTGATGGAAAGCGGGAGATTGGGGCGGGGTGATGAAAGGCGGGAGAATGGGGCGGGATGATGGAAAGAGGGAGAATGGAGAGGGGTGATAGAAAGAGGGAGAATTGGGCGGGGTGATGGCAAGCGGGAGAATGGAGCGGGGTGATCGAAAGCGAGAGAATGGGGCGGGGTGATGGATAGTGGGAGAATGGGGCGAGGTGATGGAAAGAGGGAAAATGGGGCGTGGTGATGGAAAGCGGGAGAATTGGGCGGGGTGATGGAAAGCGGGAGAATGGAGCGGGGTGGTGGAAAGCGGGAGAATGGGGCGGGGTGATGGAAAGAGGGAGAAAAAGGAGGGGTGATGGACAGAGGGAGAATTGGGCGGGGTGATGGAAAGCGGGAGAATGGAGCGGGGTGATGGAAAGAGGGAGAATGGGGCGGGGTGATGGAAAGCGGGAGAATGGGGCGGGGTGATGGAAATCCGGAGAATGGGGCGGGGTGATGGAAAGCAGGAGAATGGGGCGGGGTGATGGAAAGAGGGAGAATGGGGCGGGGTGATTGAAAGAGGGAGAATGGGGCGGGGTGATGGAAAGCGGGAGAACTGGGCGGGGTGATGGAAAACAGGAGAATGGGGAGGGGTGATGGAAAGAGGGAGAATTGGGCGGGGTGATGGAAAGCCGGAGAATGGAGCGGGGTGATGGAACGAGGGAAAATGGGGCGGGGTGATGAAATGCGGGAGAATGGGGCGGGGTGATGGAAAGAGGGAGAATGGGGCTGGGTGATGGAAAGCGGGAGAATGGGGCGGGGTGATGGAAAGCGGGAGAATGGGGCGGGGTGATGGAAAGCGGGAGAATGGGGCACGGTGATGGAAAGCTGGAGAATGGGGCGGGGTGATGGAAATCGGGAAAATGGGGTGGGGTGATGGAAAGCGGGAGAATGGGGCGGGGTGATGGAAAGAGGGAGAATGGGGCGGGGTGATGGAAGGCGGGAGAATGGGGCGGGGTGATGGAAAGGGGGAGAATTGGGCAGGGTGATGGAAAGATGGAGAATGGGGCAGGGTGATGGAAGGCGGGAGAATGGGGCGGGGTGATGGAAAGAGGGAGAATGGGGCGGGGTGATGGAAAGCGGGAGAATGGGGCGGGGTGATGGAAAGAGGGAGAATGGGGCGGGGTGGTGGAAAGAGGGAGAATGGGGCGTGGTGATGGAAAGCGGGAGAATGGGGCGGGGTGATGGAAAGAGGGAGAATGGGGAGGGGTGATGGAAAAAGGGAGAATTGGGCGGGGTGATGGAAAGCGGGAGAATGGAGCGGGGTGATGGAACGAGGGAAAATGGAGCGGGGTGAAGGAAGGCGGGAGAATGGGGCGGGATGATGGAAAGGGGGAGAATTGGGCAGGGTGATGGAAAGATGGAGAATGGGGCGGGGTGATGGAAGGCGGGAGAATGGGGCGGGGTGATGGAAAGCAGGAGAATGGGGCGGGGAGATGGAAAGAGGGAGCATGGGAAGGGGTGATGGAAAGAGTGAGATAGGGGTGGGGTGATGGAAAGCGGGAGAATGGGGCAGGGTGTTGGAAAGCGGGAGAATGGGGCGGGGTGATGGAAATCGGGAGAATGGGGCGGGGTGATGGAAAGCGGAGATTGGGGCGGGGTGATGGAAAGCGGGAGAATAAGGCGGGGTGATGGAAAGCGAGAGAATGGGGCGGGGTGATGGAAAACGGGAGAATGGGATGGGGTGATGGAAAGTGGGAGAATTGGGCGGGGTGATCGATAGAGGGAGAATGGGGCGGGGTGATGGAAAGCGGGAGAATGGGGCGGGGAGATGGAAAGAGGAAGAATGGGGTGGGGTGATGGAAAGCGTGAGAATGGGGCGGGGTGATGGAAAGAGGGAGAATGGGGCGGGGTGATGGAAGGCGGGAGAATGGAGCGAGGTGATGGAAAGCGGGAGAATTGGGCGGGGTGATGGAAAGCGGGAGATTGGGGCGGGGTGATGAAAGGCGGGAGAATGGGGCGGGATGATGGAAAGAGGGAGAATGGAGAGGGGTGATAGAAAGAGGGAGAATTGGGCGGGGTGATGGCAAGCGGGAGAATGGAGCGGGGTGATCGAAAGCGAGAGAATGGGGCGGGGTGATGGATAGTGGGAGAATGGGGCGAGGTGATGGAAAGAGGGAAAATGGGGCGTGGTGATGGAAAGCGGGAGAATTGGGCGGGGTGATGGAAAGCGGGAGAATGGAGCGGGGTGGTGGAAAGCGGGAGAATGGGGCGGGGTGATGGAAAGAGGGAGAAAAAGGAGGGGTGATGGACAGAGGGAGAATTGGGCGGGGTGATGGAAAGCGGGAGAATGGAGCGGGGTGATGGAAAGAGGGAGAATGGGGCGGGGTGATGGAAAGCGGGAGAATGGGGCGGGGTGATGGAAATCCGGAGAATGGGGCGGGGTGATGGAAAGCAGGAGAATGGGGCGGGGTGATGGAAAGAGGGAGAATGGGGCGGGGTGATTGAAAGAGGGAGAATGGGGCGGGGTGATGGAAAGCGGGAGAACTGGGCGGGGTGATGGAAAACAGGAGAATGGGGAGGGGTGATGGAAAGAGGGAGAATTGGGCGGGGTGATGGAAAGCCGGAGAATGGAGCGGGGTGATGGAACGAGGGAAAATGGGGCGGGGTGATGAAATGCGGGAGAATGGGGCGGGGTGATGGAAAGAGGGAGAATGGGGCTGGGTGATGGAAAGCGGGAGAATGGGGCGGGGTGATGGAAAGCGGGAGAATGGGGCGGGGTGATGGAAAGCGGGAGAATGGGGCACGGTGATGGAAAGCTGGAGAATGGGGCGGGGTGATGGAAATCGGGAAAATGGGGTGGGGTGATGGAAAGCGGGAGAATGGGGCGGGGTGATGGAAAGAGGGAGAATGGGGCGGGGTGATGGAAGGCGGGAGAATGGGGCGGGGTGATGGAAAGGGGGAGAATTGGGCAGGGTGATGGAAAGATGGAGAATGGGGCAGGGTGATGGAAGGCGGGAGAATGGGGCGGGGTGATGGAAAGAGGGAGAATGGGGCGGGGTGATAGAAAGCAGGAGAATGGGGCGGGGTGATGGAAAGAGGGAGAATTGAGAGGGGTGATGGAAAAAGTGAGAATGGGGTGGGGTGATGGAAAGCGGGAGAATGGGGCAGTGTGTTGGAAAGCGGGAGATTGAAGCGGGCGGGGTGATGGAAAGCGGGAGAATGGGGCGGGGTGATGGAAAGAGGGAGAATGGGGCCGGGTGATGGAAAGAGGGAAAATGGGGCGGGGTGATGGAAAGCGGGAGAATGGGGCGGGGTGATGGAAAAGAGAATGGGGAGGGGTGATGGAAAGAGGGAGAATTGGGCGGGGTGATGGAAAGCGGGAGAATGGAGCGGGGTGATGGAAAGAGTGAAAATGGGGCAGGGTGATTGAAAGTGGGAGAATGGGGCGGGGTGATGGAAAGAGGGAGAATGGGGCGGGGTGATGGAAAGCGGGAGAATGGGGCGGGGTGATGGAAAGCGGGAGAATGGGGCGGGGTGATGGAAAGCGGGAGAATGGGGCGCGGTGATGGAAAGCGGGAGAATGGGGCGGGGTGATGGAAAGCGGGAGAATGGGGCGGGGTGATGGAAATCGGGAAAATGGGGCGAGGTGATGGAAAGCGAGAGAATGGGGCGGGGTGATGGAAAGAGGGAGAATGGGGCGGGGTGATGGATCGCGGGAGAATGGGGCGGGGTGATGGAAAGGGGGAGAATTGGGCAGGGTGATGGAAAGATGGAGAATGGGGCGGGGTGATGGAAGGCGGGAGAATGGGGCGGGGTGATGGAAAGAGGGAGAATGGGGCGGGAAGATAGAAAGCAGGAGAATGGGGCGGGGTGATGGAAAGAGTGAGAATGGGGCAAGGTGATGGAAAGCGGGAGAATGGGCCGGGGTGATGGAAAGCGGGGTGATGGAAATCGGGAGAAAGGGGCGGGTGATGGAAATCGGGAGAATGGGGCGGGGTGATGGAAAACGGGAGAATAAGGCGGGGTGATAAAGCAAGAGAATGGGGCGGGGTGATGGATAGAGGGAGAATGGGGCGGGGTGATGGAAAGTGGGAGAATGGGGCGGGGTGATAGAAAGAGGGAGATTGGGGCGGGGTGATGGAAAGCGTGAGAATGGGGCGGGATGATGGAAAGAGGGAGAATGGGGCGGGGTGATGGAAAGCGGGAGAATGGGGCGGGGTGATGGAAAGCGGGAGAATGGGGCTGGGTGATGGAAAGCGGGAGAATGGGGCGGGGTGATGGAAAGAGGGAGAATGGGGAGGGGTGATGGAAAGCGGGAGAACGGGGCGGGGTGATGGAAAGCGGGAGAATTGGGCGGGGTAATGGAAAGCGGGAGAATTGGGCGGGGTGATGGAAAGCGGGAGAATGGGGCGGGGTGATGGATAGAGGGAGAATGGGGCGGGGTGATGGAAAGTGGGAGAATGGGGCGGGGTGATAGAAAGAGGGAGATTGGGGCGGGGTGATGGAAAGTGGGAGAATGGGGCGGGGTGATGGTAAGAGGGAGAACGGGGCGGGGTGATGGAAAGCAGGAGAATGGGGCGGGGTGATGGAAAGCGGGAGAATGGGGCGGGGTGATGGAAAGCGGGAGAATGGGGCTGGGTGATGGAAAGCGGGAGAATGGGGCGGGGTGATGGAAAGAGGGAGAATGGGGAGGGGTGATGGAAAGCGGGAGAACGGGGCGGGGTGATGGAAAGCGGGAGAATTGGGCGGGGTAATGGAAAGCGGGAGAATTGGGCGGGGTGATGGAAAGCGGGAGAATGGGGCGGGGTGATGGAAATCGGGAGAATGGGGCGGGGTGATGGAAATCGGGAGAATGGGGCGGGGTGATGGAAAGCAGGAGAATGGGGCGGGGTGATGGAAAGAGGGAGAATGGGGCGGGGTGATTGAAAGAGGGAGAATGGGGCGGGGTGATGGAAAGCGGGAGAACTGGGCGGGGTGATGGAAAACACGAGAATGGGGAGGGGTGATGGAAAGAGGGAGAATTGGGCGGGGTGATGGAAAGCCGGAGAATGGAGCGGGGTGATGGAACGAGGGAAAATGGGGCGGGGTGATGAAATGCGGGAGAATGGGGCGGGGTGATGGAAAGAGGGAGAATGGGGCTGGGTGATGGAAAGCGGGAGAATGGGGCGGGGTGATGGAAAGCGGGAGAATGGGGCGGGGTGATGGAAAGCGGGAGAATGGGGCAGGGTGATGGAAAGCTGGAGAATGGGGCGGGGTGATGGAAATCGGGAAAATGGGGTGGGGTGATGGAAAGCGGGAGAATGGGGCGGGGTGATGGAAAGAGGGAGAATGGGGCGGGGTGATGGAAGGCGGGAGAATGGGGCGGGGTGATGGAAAGGGGGAGAATTGGGCAGGGTGATGGAAAGATGGAGAATGGGGCGGGGTGATGGAAGGCGGGAGAATGGGGCGGGGTGATGGAAAGAGGGAGAATGGGGCGGGGTGATAGAAAGCAGGAGAATGGGGCGGGGTGATGGAAAGAGGGAGAATTGAGAGGGGTGATGGAAAAAGTGAGAATGGGGTGGGGTGATGGAAAGCGGGAGAATGGGGCAGTGTGTTGGAAAGCGGGAGATTGAAGCGGGCGGGGTGATGGAAAGCGGGAGAATGGGGCGGGGTGATGGAAAGAGGGAGAATGGGGCCGGGTGATGGAAAGAGGGAAAATGGGGCGGGGTGATGGAAAGCGGGAGAATGGGGCGGGGTGATGGAAAAGAGAATGGGGAGGGGTGATGGAAAGAGGGAGAATTGGGCGGGGTGATGGAAAGCGGGAGAATGGAGCGGGGTGATGGAAAGAGTGAAAATGGGGCAGGGTGATGGAAAGTGGGAGAATGGGGCGGGGTGATGGAAAGAGGGAGAATGGGGCGGGGTGATGGAAAGCGGGAGAATGGGGCGGGGTGATGGAAAGCGGGAGAATGGGGCGGGGTGATGGAAAGCGGGAGAATGGGGCGCGGTGATGGAAAGCGGGAGAATGGGGCGGGGTGATGGAAAGCGGGAGAATGGGGCGGGGTGATGGAAATCGGGAAAATGGGGCGAGGTGATGGAAAGCGAGAGAATGGGGCGGGGTGATGGAAAGAGGGAGAATGGGGCGGGGTGATGGATCGCGGGAGAATGGGCCGGGGTGATGGAAAGGGGGAGAATTGGGCAGGGTGATGGAAAGATGGAGAATGGGGCGGGGTGATGGAAGGCGGGAGAATGGGGCGGGGTGATGGAAAGAGGGAGAATGGGGCGGGAAGATAGAAAGCAGGAGAATGGGGCGGGGTGATGGAAAGAGTGAGAATGGGGCAGGGTGATGGAAAGCGGGAGAATGGGCCGGGGTGATGGAAAGCGGGGTGATGGAAATCGGGAGAAAGGGGCGGGTGATGGAAATCGGGAGAATGGGGCGGGGTGATGGAAAACGGGAGAATAAGGCGGGGTGATAAAGCAAGAGAATGGGGCGGGGTGATGGATAGAGGGAGAATGGGGCGGGGTGATGGAAAGTGGGAGAATGGGGCGGGGTGATAGAAAGAGGGAGATTGGGGCGGGGTGATGGAAAGCGTGAGAATGGGGCGGGATGATGGAAAGAGGGAGAATGGGGCGGGGTGATGGAAAGCAGGAGAATGGGGCGGGGTGATGGAAAGCGGGAGAATGGGGCTGGGTGATGGAAAGCGGGAGAATGGGGCGGGGTGATGGAAAGAGGGAGAATGGGGAGGGGTGATGGAAAGCGGGAGAACGGGGCGGGGTGATGGAAAGCGGGAGAATTGGGCGGGGTAATGGAAAGCGGGAAAATTGGGCGGGGTGATGGAAAGCGGGAGAATGGGGCGGGGTGATGGATAGTGGGAGAATGGGGCGGGGTGATGGAAAGTGGGAGAATGGGGCGGGGTGATAGAAAGAGGGAGATTGGGGCGGGGTGATGGAAAGTGGGAGAATGGGGCGGGGTGATGGTAAGAGGGAGAACGGGGTGGGGTGATGGAAAGCAGGAGAATGGGGCGGGGTGATGGAAAGCGGGAGAATGGGGCGGGGTGATGGAAAGCGGGAGAATGGGGCTGGGTGATGGAAAGCGGGAGAATGGGGCGGGGTGATGGAAAGAGGGAGAATGGGGAGGGGTGATGGAAAGCGGGAGAACGGGGTGGGGTGATGGAAAGCGGGAGAATTGGGCGGGGTAATGGAAAGCGGGAGAATTGGGCGGGGTGATGGAAAGTGGGAGAATGGGGCGGGGTGATGGATAGAGGGAGAATGGGGCGGGGTGATGGAAAGTGGGAGAATGGGGCGGGGTGATAGAAAGAGGGAGATTGGGGCGGGGTGATGGAAAGTGGGAGAATGGGGCGGGGTGATGGTAAGAGGGAGAACGGGGCGGGGTGATGGAAAGCAGGAGAATGGGGCGAGGAGATGGAAAGAGGGAGAATGGGGCGAGGTGATGGAAACAGGGAGAATGGGGCGGGGTGACGGAAAGAGGGAGAGTTGGAAGGGGTGATGGAAAGAGGGAGAATGGGGCGGGGAGATGGAAAGAGGGAGAATGGAGAGGGGTGATGGAAAGCGGGAGAATTGGGCGGGGTGATGGAAAGCGGGAGAATGGAGCAGGGTGATGGAAAGCGGGAGAATGGGGTGGGGTTATAGAAAGCGGGAGAATGGGGCGGGGTGATGGAAAGAGGGAGAATGGGGCGGGGTGATGGAAAGCAGTAGAATGGGGCGGGGTAATGGAAAGAGGGAGAATGGGGCGGGGTGATGGAAATCGGGAGAATGGGGCCCGGTGATGGAAAGAGGGAGAATGGGGAGGGGTGATGGAAAGAGGGAGAATTGGGCGGGGTGATGGAAAGCGGGAGAATGGGGCGGGGTGATGGAAAACGGGAGAATGGGGCGGGGTGATGGAAAGCGGGAGAATGGGGCGGGGTGATGTAAAGCGGGAGAACGGGGCGGGGTGATGGAAAGCGGGAGAATGGGGCGAGGTGATGGAAATTGGGAGAATGGGGCGAGGTGGTGGAAGGAGGGAGAATGGGGCGAGGTGATGGAAAGAGGGAGAATGGGGAGGGGTGATGGAAAGAGGGAGAATGGGGCGAGGTGACGGAAATCGGGAGAATGGGGCGGGGTGATGGAAGGAGGGAGAATGGGGCGGGGAGATGGACAGAGGAAGAATGGGGCGGGGTGATGGAAAGAGGGAGAATAGGGCGGGGTGACGGAAATCGGGAGAATGGGGCGAGGTGATGGAAAGAGGGAGCATGGGGCGGGGTGACGGAAATCGGGAAAATGGAGCGGGGTGATGGAAAGAGGGAGAATGGGGCGGGGTGATGGAAAGCGGGAGAATGGGGCGGGGTGATGGAAAACGGGAGATAGGGTGGGGTGATGGAAAGAGGGAGAATGGGGCGGGGTGATGGAAAGCGGGAGAATGGGGCGGGGTGATGGAAAGTGGGAGAATGGGGCGGGGTGATGGAAAGCGGGAGAATGGGGCGGCGTGATGGAAAGAGGGAGAATGGGGCGGGGTCATGGAAAGCGGGAGAATGGGTCGGGGTGATGGAAAGAGGGAGAATGAGGCGGGGTGATGGAAAGAGGGATAATGGGGCAGGATGACTGAAATCGGGAGAATGGGGCGGGGTGATGGAAAGAGGGAGAATGGGGCGGGGTGACGGAAATCGGGAGAATGGGGCGGGGTGATGGAAAGAATGGGGCGGGGAGATGGAAAGAGGAAGAATGGGGCGGGGTGATGGAAAGCGGGCGAATGGGGCGGGGTGATGGAAAGAGGGAGAATGGGACGGGGTGATGGAAAGCGGGAGAATGGGGTGGGGTGATGGAAAGCGGGAGAATGGGGCAGGGTGATGGAAAGAGGGAGAATGGGGCCGGGTGATGGAAGGAGGGAGAATGGGGCGGGGTGATAGAAAGCGGGAGAATGGGGCGGGGTGATGGAAAGAGGGAGAATGGGGAGGGGTGATGGAAAGAGGGAGAATGGGGCGGGGTGACAGAGTCGGGAGAATGGGGTGGGATGATGGAAAGAGGGAGAATGGGGCGGGGTGAAGGAAATCGGGAGAATGGGGCGGGGTGATGGAAAGAGGGAGAATGGGGCGGGGAGATGGAAAGAGGAAGAATGGGGCGGGGTGATGGAAAGCGGGCGAATGGGGCGGGGTGATGGAAAGAGGGAGAATGGGACGGGGTGATGGAAAGCGGGAGAATGGGGTGGGGTGATGGAAAGCGGGAGAATGGGGCGGGGTGATGGAAAGAGGGAGAATGGGGCGGGGTGATGGAAAGCGGGAGAATGGGGCGGGGTGATGGAAAGAGGGAGAATGGGGCGGGGTGATGGAAAGCGGGAGAATGGGGCGGGGTGATGGAAAGCGGGAGAATGGGGCGGGGTGATGGAAAGAGGGAGAATGGGGCGGGGTGATGGAAAGCGGGAGAATGGGGCGGGGAGATGGAAAGAGGAAGAATGGGGCGGGGTGATGGAAAGCGGGCGAATGGGGCGGGGTGATGGAAAGAGGGAGAATGGGACGGGGTGATGGAAAGCGGGAGAATGGGGTGGGGTGATGGAAAGCGGGAGAATGGGGCGGGGTGATGGAAAGAGGGAGAATGGGGCGGGGTGATGGAAAGCGGGAGAATGGGGCGGGGTGATGGAAAGAGGGAGAATGGGGCGGGGTGATGGAAAGCGGGAGAATGGGGCGGGGTGATGGAAAGCGGGAGAATGGGGCGGGGTGATGGAAAGAGGGAGAATGGGGCGGGGTGATGGAAAGCGGGAGAATGGGTCGGGGTGATGGAAAGAGGGAGAATGGGGCAGGGTGATGGAATGAGGGAGAATGGGGCAGGATGACGGAAATCGGGAGAATGGGGCGGGGTGATGGAAATCGGGAGAATGGGGAGGGGTGATGGAAAGAGGGAGAATGGGGCGGGGTGACAGAGTCGGGAGAATGGGGCGGGATGATGGAAAGAGGGAAAATGGGGCGGGGTGACGGAAATCGGGAGAATGGGGCAGGGTGATGGAAAGAGGGAGAATGGGGCGGGGAGATGGAAATAGGAAGAATGGGGCGGGGTGATGGAAAGAGGGAGAATGGGGCGGGGTGATGGAAAGCGGGAGAATGGGGCGGGGTGATGGAAAGAGGGAGAATGGGGCGGGGTGATGGAAAGCGGGAGAATGGGGCGGGGTGATGGAAAGCGGGAGAATGGGGCGGGGTGATGGAAAGAGGGAGAATGGGGCGGGGTGATGGAAAGCGGGAGAATGGGTCGGGGTGATGGAAAGAGGGAGAATGGGGCAGGGTGATGGAATGAGGGAGAATGGGGCAGGATGACGGAAATCGGGAGAATGGGGCAGGGTGATCGAAAGAGGGAGTATGGGGCGAGGTGACGGAAATCGGGAGAATGGGGCGAAGTGATGGAAAGAGGGAGAATTGGGCGGGGTGATGGAAAGATGGAGAATGGGGCGGGGTGATGGAAAGAGGGAGAATGGGGCGGGGAGATGGAAAGAGGAAGAATGGGGCGGGGTGATGGAAAGAGGGAGAATGGGGCGGGGTGACGGAAATCGGGAGAATGGGGCGGGATGATGGAAAGAGGGAGAACGGGGCGGGGTGACGGAAATCGGGAGAATGGGGCGGGGTGATGGAAAGAGGGGGAATGGGGCGGGGAGATGGAAAGAGGAAGAATGGGGCGGGGTGATGGAAAGCGGGCGAATGGGGCAGGGTGATGGAAAGAGGGAGAATGGGACGGGGTGATGGAAAGCGGGAGAATGGGGTGGGGTGATGGAAAGCGGGAGAATGGGGCGGGGTTATGGAAAGAGGGAGAATGGGGCCGGGTGATGGAAGGAGGGAGAATGGGGCGGGGTGATGGAAAGCGGGAGAATGGGGCCGGGTGATGGAAAGAGGGAGAATGGGGAGGGGTGATGGAAAGATGGAGAATGGGGCGGGGTGAAAGAGTCGGGAGAATGGGGCGGGATGATGGAAAGAGGGAGAATGGGGCAGGGTGACGGAAATCGGGAGAATGGGGGGGGGTGATGGAAAGAGGGAGAATGGGTCGGGGAGATGGAAAGAGGAAGAATGGGGCGGGGTGATGGAAAGCGGGCGAATGGGGCGGGGGTGATGGAAAGAGGGAGAATGGGACGGGGTGATGGAAAGCGGGAGAATGGGGTGGGGTGATGGAAAGCGGGAGAATGGGGCGGGGTGATGGAAAGAGGGAGAATGGGGCGGGGTGATGGAAAGCGGGAGAATGGAGCGTGGTGATGGAAAGCGGGAGAACGGGGCGGGGTGATGGGAGAATCAGGCGGGGTGATGGAAAGCGGGAGAATGGGGCGGGGTGATGGAAAGCGGGAGAATGGGGCGGTGTGATGGAAAGCGGGTGAATGGGGCGGGGTGATGGAAAGTGGGAGAATGGGGCGGGTGATGAAAAGCGGGAGAATGGGGCGGGGTGATGGAAGGCGGGAGCATGGGGCGGGGTGATGGAAGGAGGTAGAATGAGGCGGGGTGATGGAAGGAGGGAGAATGGGGCGGGGTGATGGAAAGCAGGAGAATGGGGCGGGGTGATGGAAGGACGGAGAATGGGGCGTGGTGATGGAAAGCGGGAGAATGGGGCGGGGTGATGGAAAGCGGGAGAATGGGGCGGGGTGATGGAAAGCGGGAGAATGGGGCGGGGTGATGGAAAACGGGAGAATGGGGCGGGGTGATGGAAAGCGGGAGAATGGGGCGGGGTGATGGAAAGCAGGAGAATGGGGCGGGGTGATGGAAAGCGGGAGAATGGGGCGGTGTGATGGAAAGCGGGTGAATGGGGCGGGGTGATGGAAAGTGGGAGAATGGGGCGGGTGATGAAAAGCGGGAGAATGGGGCGGGGTGATGGAAGGCGGGAGCATGGGGCGGGGTGATGGAAGGAGGTAGAATGAGGCGGGGTGATGGAAGGAGGGAGAATGGGGCGGGGTGATGGAAAGCAGGAGAATGGGGCGGGGTGATGGAAGGACGGAGAATGGGGCGTGGTGATGGAAAGCGGGAGAATGGGGCGGGGTGATGGAAAGCGGGAGAATGGGGCGGGGTGATGGAAAGCGGGAGAATGGGGCGGGGTGATGGAAAACGGGAGAATGGGGCGGGGTGATGGAAAGCGGGAGAATGGGGCGGGGTGATGGAAAGCAGGAGAATGGGGCGGGGTGATGGAAAGCGGGAGAATGGGGCGGATGATCGAAAGCGGGAGAATGGGGCGGGGTGATGGAAAGCGGGAGAATGGGGCGGGGTGATGGAAAGTGGTAGAATGGGGTGGGCTGATGAAAAGCGGGAGAATGGGGCGGGGTGATGGAAGGAGGGAGAATGGGGCGGGGTGATGGAAAGCGGGAGAATGGGGCGGGGTGATGGAAAGTGGGAGAATGGGGCGGGTGATGAAAAGCGGGAGAATGGGGCGGGTTGATGGCAAGCAGGAGCATGGGGCGGGGTGATGGAAGGAGGTAGAATGAGGCGGGGTGATGGAAGGAGGGAGAATGGGGCGGGGTGATGGAAAGCGGGAGAATGGGGCGGGGTGATGGAAAGCGGGAGAATGGGGCGTGGTGATGGAAAGCGGGAGAATGGGGCGGGGTGATGGAAAGCGGGAGAATGGGGCGGGGTGATGGAAAGCGGGAGCATGGGGCGGGGTGATGGAAAACGGGAGAATGGGGCGGGGTGATGGAAAGCGGGAGAATGGGGCTGAGTGATGGAAAGCAGGAGAATGGAGCGGGGTGATGGAAAGCGGGAAATGGGGCGGGGTGATCAAAAGCGGGAGAATGGGGCGGGGTGATGGAAAATGGTAGAATGGGGTGGGCTGATGGAAAGCGGGAGAATGGGGCGGGGTGATGGAAGGAGGGAGAATGGGGCGGGGTGATGGAAGGAGGGAGAATGGGGAGGGTGATGGAAGGAGGGAGAATGAGGCGGGGTTATGGAAAGCGGGAGAATGGGGCGGGGTGATGGAAAGCGGGAGAATGGGGCGGGGTGATGGAAGGAGGGAGAATGGGGCGGGGTGATGGAAAGCGGGAGATTGGGGCATGGTGATGGAAAGCGTGAGAATGGAGCGGGGTGATAGAAAGCGGGAGAATAAGGAGGAGTGATGGAAAGTGGGAGAATGGGGGTGGGTGATGGAAAGCGGGAGAATGGGGCGGGGTGATGGAAAGCGGGAGAATGGGGCGGGTTGATGGGAGAATCGGGCGGGGTGATGGAAAGCGGGAGAATGGGGCGGGGTGATGGAAAGCGGGAGAATGGGGCGGTGTTATGGAAAGCGGGTGAATGGGGTGGGTTGATGGAAAGCGGGAGAATGGGGCGGGTTGATGGATGGAGGGAGAATGGGGCGGGGTGATGGAAAGCGGGAGAATGGGGCGGGGTGATGGAAAGTGGGAGAATGGGGCGGGTGATGAAAAGCGGGAGAATGGGGCGGGGTGATGGAAAGCGGGAGCATGGGGCGGGGTGATGGAAGGAGGTAGAATGAGGCGGGGTGATGGAAGGAGGGAGAATGGGGCGGGGTGATGGAAAGCGGGAGAATGGGGCGGGGTGATGGAAATCGGGGGAATGGGGCGGGGTGATGGAAAGCGGGAGAATGGGGCGGGGTGATGGAAAGCGGGAGAATGGGGCGGGGTGATGGAAAGCGGGAGACTGGGGCGGGGTGATGGAAAGCGGGAGAATGGCGCGGGGTGATGGAAAGTGGGAGAATGGGGTGGGCTGATGGAAAGCGGGAGAATGGGGCGGGGTGATGGAAGGAGGGAGAATGGGGCGGGGTGATGGAAGGAGGGAGAATGGGGCGGGTGATGGAAGGAGGGAGAATGAGGCTGGGTTATGGAAAGCGGGAGAATGGGGTGGGGTGATGGAAAGCGGGAGAATGGGGCGGGGTGATGGAAGGAGGGAGAATGGGGTGGGGTGATGGAAAGCGGGAGATTGGGGCATGGTGATGGAAAGCGTGAGAATGGGGCGGGGTGCTAGAAAGCGGGAAAATAAGGCGGGGTGATGGAAAGTGGGAGAATGGGGCTGGGTGATGGAAAGCGGGAGAATGGGGCGGGGTGATGGAAAGCGGAAGAATAGGGCAGGGTGATGGAAGGAGGGAGAATGAGGCGGAGTGATGGAAGGAGGGAGAATGGGGCGGGGTGATGGAAAGCAGGAGAATGGGGCGGGGTGATGGAAAGCGGGAGAATGAAGTGGAGTGATGGAAAGCGGGAGAATGGAGTGGGGTGATGCAAAGCAGGAGAATGGGGCGGGTGATGGAAAGCGGGTGAATGGGGCGGGGTGATGGAAAGCAGGAGAATGGGGCGGGGTGATGGAAAGCAGAAGAATAGGGCGGGGTGATGGAAAGCGGGAGATGGGGCGAGGTGATGGAAAGCGGGAGAATGGGGCGGGTAATGGAAAGCGGGAGAATGGGGCGGGGTGATAGAAGGAGGGAGAATGGGGAGGGGTGATGGAAAGCGGGTGAATGGGGCGGGGTGATAGAAGGAGGGAGAATGGGGAGGGGTGATGGAAAGCGGGTGAATGGGGCGGGGTGATGGAAAGCGGGAGAATGGGGCGTGGTGATAGAAAGCGGGTGAATGGGGCAGGGTGATGGAAAGCGGGAGAATGAGGCGGGGTGATGGAAAGCGGGAGAATGGGGCGGGGTGATGGAAGGAGGGAGAATGGGGCGGGGCGATCGAACGGGAGAATGGGGCGGGGTGATGGAAAGCGGGAGAATGGGGCGGGGTGATGGAGAGCGGGAGTATGGGGCGGGGAGATGGAAAGCGGGAGAACGGGGCGGGGTGATGGAAAGCGGGAGAATTGGGCGGGGTGATGGAAAGCGAGAGGAATGGGGCGGGGTGATGAAAGGCGGGAGAATGGGGCGGGGTGATGGAAAGAGGGAGAATGGGGCGGGGTGATGGAAAGCAGGAGAATGGGGCGGGGAGATGGAAAGAGGGAGAATGGGGCGAGGTGATGGAAACAGGGAGAATGGGGCGGGGTGACGGAAAGAGGGAGAGTTGGAAGGGGTGATGGAAAGAGGGAGAATGGGGCGGGGAGATGGAAAGCGGGAGAATGGAGCAGGGTGATGGAAAGCGGGAGAATGGGGTGGGGTTATAGAAAGTGGGAGAATGGGGCGGGGTGATGGAAAGAGGGAGAATGGGGCGGGGTGATGGAAAGCAGTAGAATGGGGCGGGGTAATGGAAAGAGGGAGAATGGGGCGGGGTGATGAAAATCGGGAGAATGGGGCGTGGTGATGGAAAGAGGGCGAATGGGGAGGGGTGATGGAAAGAGGGAGAATTGGGCGGGGTGATGGAAAGAGGGAAAATGGGGAGGGGTGATGGAAAGCGGAAGAACGGGGCGGGGTGATGGAAAGCGGGAGAATTGGGCGGGGTGATGGAAAGCGAGAGGAATGGGGCGGGGTGATAAAAGGCGGGAGAATGGGGCGGGGTGATGGAAAGAGGGGGAATGGGGCGGGGTGATGGAAAGCAGGAGAATGGGGCGGGAAGATGGAAAGAGGGAGAATGGGGCGAGGTGATGGAAACAGGGAGAATGGGGCGGGGTGACGGAAAGAGGGAGAGTTGGAAGGGGTGATGGAAAAGCGGGAGAATGGGGCGGGGAGATGGAAAGCGGGAGAATGGAGCAGGGTGATGGAAAGCGGGCGAATGGGGTGGGGTTATAGAAAGCGGGAGAATGAGGCGGGGTGATGGAAAGAGGGAGAATGGGGCGGGGTGATAGAAAGCAGTAGAATGGGGCGGGGTAATGGAAAGAGTGAGAATGGGGCGGGGTGATGGAAATCGGGAGAATGGGGCGTGGTGATGGAAAGAGGGAGAATGGGGAGGGGTGATGGAAAGAGGGAGAATTGGGCGGGGTGATGGAAAGCGGGAGAATGGGGCGGGGTGATGGAAAGCGGGAGAATGGGGCGGGGTGATGGAAAGCGGGAGAATGGGGTTGGGTGATGTAAAGCGGGAGAACGGGGCGGGGTGATGGAAAGCGGGAGAATGGGGCGAGGTGATGGAAATCGGGAGAATGGGGCGAGGTGGTGGAAGGAGGGAGAATGGGGCGAGGTGATGGAAAGAGGGAGAATGGGGAGGGGTGATGGAAAGAGGGAGAATGGGGCGAGGTGACGGAAATCGTGAGAATGGGGCGGGGTGATGGAAGGAGGGAGAATGGGGCGGGGAGATGGACAGAGGAAGAATGGGGCGGGGTGATGGAAAGAGGGAGAATAGGGCGGGGTGACGGAAATCGGGAGAATGGGGCGGGGTGATGGAAAGAGGGAGCATGGGGCGGGGTGACGGAAATCGGGAAAATGGAGCGGGGGTGATGGAAAGAGGGAGAATGGGGCGGGGTGATGGAAAGCAGGAGAATGGGGCGGGGTGATGGAAAGCGGGAGAATAGGGCGGGGTGATGGAAAGAGGGAGAATGGGGCGGGGGTGATCGGGAGAATGCGGGGATGAAGTGGGAGAATGGGGCGGGGTGATGGAAAGTGGGAGAATGGGGCGGGGTGATGGAAAGAGGGAGAATGGGGCGGGGTGATGGAAAGAGGGAGAATGGGGCGGGGTGATGGAAAGAGGGAGAATGGGTCGGGGTGATGGAAAGAGGGGATGAGATGACTGAGCGGGAGAATGGGGCGGTGATGGAAAGAGGGAGAATGGGGCAGGAGTGACTGAAATCGGGAGAATGGGGCGGG